AAAATTAAACCGACGCGTGTCTGCGTCCCTATACCCATACCAGGGAAAGAATAAACTACTCGGCTATACGTTAAGTGATCCGCGACAATTCAGTCCAGTTTCCGAATTAGTTGCGACTTGTATGGCCGCAAGCTCGACTTGAAAAATGATCCCCTTCGGTCCGGTTTTTCATCTTCGATCCGTCTGTATAGAACTGAATACAATCTGTCGGCCCCGGAGCGTCATGAGTGCATTTTCCTGCTAGGGATTTCTACTTTATATCCCTTATCGAAAGTTGAGGTTGGTCGCAATAGTCTGTTAATTCCGCCAGGCCTAGCATATCCGAAATCCACTTTCCAGTTAGATCATTACCTCAGTCTGATGGCTGGTGGTGTAGAGAACTGTCATAGCTTTTCGCACACGGTCAAAAATGTTTCGTTGCCGGTTTATCAAGCGTGAGTCTCAGATATTTCACTGACAAGAATTCCTGTTAGTTAAATAATACTAGCTCCGTTTTGCTTAGCTTTACTGCTCGGCCCTTTTCGGTGGTCCACTTTTCCACCCTCCTTGCTTTTAGCGAGAGTTTTGCACTTACGACTATATTTCATTCTTCCTTTCCCTTCATGTGAGTGAGCAATTGGTTGGAGATAGGATTCCACCTTGCGGCATGCCCCTGCTGATACGTCTGCTCATCGGTATTCCAGCCAGATCAGCCTGAACTACCCTGCATCTTTGCATTTAGTCTACGAGCGTCACCAGTCGCGAGTCACAAGTCGACGCCCAAATCCCTCAGTGCTAACTGTTGAGTAAAAATGTTGTTGAAAGCGCCCTCTATGTCTGTGAATTCCGTAGCTTATTTTTTCTTAAGTTTTTTAAGTCGATTATAAATTCGCTTTTTAGCCAATAACAACACTTTTAGTAATCCCATTCACAACTTTGTTTCTTTCCATGCCCCGATGGCCTAAACAGTTTTATTACAATTACATATGCAGCCTTCTATTCGTCGCTAGGCTCTTCACTACTTTCCTGTAATTTCAGCGGCTTTCCTCAACGCAAAAGCCTAATTAAGCTATTCTGCTTTGGTTAGGCAGTATAAAAGGCTGCTTAATATCTACTACACTGAGCAAAAAATCAACCAAAAATTGGTAAATATTAGCAAATTCAAACTTGAAAAGGGATCTATGTGATTTTCGGTTAATATTAGCAATGCCTTGGTTGATGTTTTCAACAATGATTTGGTAATATTAACCACGCTTTTGTTTCCATTAACCAAACTTTTGGTTGTCGATTTTTTCGTTTGAATACGCTTATGTTCTGCACTTCACAGATGCTTTTTCATAATTCGGAGTTAAAAAACAAAAATTATTATTATCATTTTAACAAGTTGCCTCTGGCGAGACTTGAAACCGCATCTTCTTACTGTTAGCAAATAACAGCAAGCATCTCTGCACACTCAGCAACAGCCGCATTATAAATCTGCTTTCAAATGTTCAACTTGAATAAATTTTCTCCGACATTTGATTTGGTTCTACACTTCACAGAGGCTTTTTTGCCGTACTGCTGAAAGCCAACAATTAACAACAGGCACCTCTGCACGTTCAGCCACAGCCATGCATACGCATTTGTTCTCAAATGCTCAACTTGAATCACATTTCTTACAATCGGCTTATTAACCATGAAAAAATCGAACCATAACTTGGTTGAAAAAACCATTTTGCTTTTGGCTCAGGGTATACATTGCTTTTTGCAGTCAGTGTAGACATTAATCATAGTCTGGAACGCTTTCTCCCAATTAAAGTGCGAAGCCACGTAGCCTGTGTCACCAACATTTTTCCTGCCTTTCGAGCTATACCCGAAGATTATCTGCGAGAATTTTTCTTTCGACGTTAATCTGACGGCTTATTTTGCTGCAACATCCTCTAAATTAACGTCTATATACAGAAAATTCAGTATCATTTCTAGAGCACTGCGTGTTCAAGACCACCCCAACTTAAGTACTTCGTGCATTATTTAGAGTCTGTTGCTATTACTTAATTTCGGTGGATTTCATGCAAGGACCTTATACTTGCTTGTGAAAGAAAAATATAACCACACATCAAGGGTGAAGGAAGAACACCAACAAGGGTGAAGGGTGAAGGAAGAACACCAACATTATAGAGGTGTGTGACCCTAACTAGCTCTAAAGAGCCTTACATAGAACGAATAATCCAGTACCATTGAAGACTTGAAACCAATTAAAGACTCTGTTAAGAGTCTGAGTGTCTGGAGATGCAGTCGCCTTCAATGAGCAGGCTGTCCGACTTGAAATCTTTAACCAGGCATAGCATAGGTTGAAGTAGCTGCCAGTGACCCCACTAACACACCTAGGCCCTTAGATTGTGGCCTGTTATGATGCCAAGAGCATTAGGCCCTCCTACTCACACCATCGTGTTGATTTCGCGAAACCCTGCGGCTAAGTACCCACTGCTCAACATCAGCTGATCCTTCGCCTATTTTTCGCCCCATTTTGGCCACGTCAGTTTCGTATTGCTGACATATAATATATGCTAATACTCTCAGCTGCTTCCAGATCATAGCCAGCCAGCTGGAGGTTTATTTAGACAACCTCAGACCCACTTTCAATTTAGTTCTACACTTGGATTGGCGAGAAATATGCCTTCTAGTAGCTTGTTGGGATCGTCGACCACGTCATACATATCTACATATATAATAATGCCTATTGCGATATCCGACGCGAGTGAGAAGCAGCAGATCAGTGCCAATGGCATCCCTCGGATACATGCCTATTCTGAACCGACAGATGCCATTCGCTCGAATCTAACCCTTCACGCTTGTTATGACATGGATAATCGGATAAAATCCGTGCAGATGGAATCCGAAATCGGCATGAATATTTCCTCAACGCCTTCTACTAGAGTTGATGAAAGAGATCCGATCTAACATGCATGATTGCCACAATTTCACATCTAAAGCTTAGTATCCAGCACTCAAGAAATATTTTCATTCTTTCTTTCGCTTCAAATAATAGCAGGCTGGTAAAAATACCTTAGAATTATGTATTACCAAATGTTTGAAATTTCTTGAGAGCTGCGTACTGGTTTAAAAAAATTAAACGGAGAAAAATTTTGTTTATCATTTCTTGACTTTTTTTAAATTAAAAATTTTTGTTTTTGTTTTAATAAGGAATCTAAGCTTAAAAAATTAGTAGAAATATGTTAAAATGCTTTTTTAGTTTTTTTAATTTCAGTGGGAAATATATAACAAAAAAAAAAAAAATCTGTTTTTAAAATTTTATTGAGTGTAATTTTCTACTTACTGCTTAAGAAAATATGCATCCCCATTGTTGTTGCCATTAGCGTGTGTATTTTAATATTAAGTGCTTAGTGTAATTTACTATGTATATGTATATGCTGTTATTTAATTTTTTTTTACATTTTTTCTACTTAGTTTACTTAATTAACTCCCTTTTTCCAGAACCCTTACCTTTTAGTTTAAGTCCCTTAAGTTTATGTCCGCTCTTTTGTCGACCAAATTCCAAACCCTTTCTCTAAAATGGTTTATGCAAAATGACAAAAACATAAAATTAAAATAATAACACAAAAATTAAAAAAAAAAACTAAATGCTTCATATAAAATTAATGTCCTACAATCCAACTAATGTACAGTGAAGTTTATGTAATAAAAAAGTTCTTAATTTATAAATATATAGCTTCTTATGAAATAAGTCAATTTAGTTAAATTCTTTCATGTTTTTTAAACTCCTAAGCCCCGCTTTCAAATGCCCTGCCTTGCCTTGTCTTGCCTCGCCTCGCCTCGCCCAGCCACGACTCAATCTTTTCACCTTACTTATTTGTATAATTTAGTTTTCTTGAAAATTGCACTGATTTTTCTAATTCTATTTTGCGTGCTGCATGTTTTTTTCGAATACGCATTTATTTCTTTGCTAAATCCTGAATGTTTAAATATGAAAACAAATGGAAATCAAAATGTGTTTTTCGCACCCCAAAAACAGAAAAGCCATTAAGCAAGCGTGTGAAAACAATTTTCTACCACTTTGATTTTTATTGATTTGCCAGCTTAGATGCACAATTTTTTTAGCTCAATTTTATTTCAAATATACAAAAAGGAGAAAAGCTAACTAAATGTGGATTTTATGAAACAGAAAAAAAAATGAAATTTACTTACCGCTTTATGGTTTGAAGAGCACTAACACCCCTCCCCAAAAAAAAAAAAAAAAAACTACTTAGATAAATTTTAAAACCAGAGCGTTTTAAATGAGAAGGAACCAAAAAATATGCGCAAAATTTTTTAAATAACACAAATAAAATTGCAAAACCTAATTAAAATGACGAAATTGAAAAATTTTAAAATTTCCGGAAATGCTGAAAATGTTGAAACTTGCATAAACCATTGGTGATTTTTTAATATTATTATAAATATTCATAAGTTTGTATAAATTTTATTTTTACTATATTTTTAAGTTCTTTGCATTGAATTTGTATTGATTATTTATGTTTTTTTTTTTACTTAAAATATCATTTGCTAATTTGTATGTGAATTTTTTTCTTTTTCATTTCTTTTCATTGCTTTTGCGTTGCTTTTGCGATCCATGTTTTTGCGTTTGCGTTAATCTTATGCTGGAAAAAACAACAAAAAATTACAACATAATAAAATATAACTATTATTAAAAAAAACAATAAATATTATTAAACCACATACCCACATAAACCACAACAACAACAATAAAAAATTTACCGTTTGGCTGCTACCAACCACATCAAAAAAAAAACATAAATCGAACCAACAAACGACTCCAACTCATCCACCGCTAATAACTCAAAACCCAAAAAACCAAAAAAAAAAAAAAAAAAAATTTTTACCACACAATTTGATGAAAAAAACCAAACCAAATTGCAAAACAAATGTCACAACAAACTTCATAAAAAAATCAAACTGAAAAACAAAAACGAAAACCAAACTTGTACGTTCCATTCCATTCCGTTCCGATTTCCTCCACTTAGTACCAGGTGCACCGCCACGCAATATCACTGCCATCGCCACCAGTCCCACCACCATATCCGTATCCTGGCTGCCACCGCCAGTGGAGCGCGCCAACGGTCGCATCATCTACTATAAGGTCTTCTTTGTTGAGGTGGGTCGTGCCGATAGTGAGGCCACCATAACAACCTTGAATAAGACTCACATCGTATTGGACGAGTTGAAACGTTGGACCGAGTACAAGATTTGGACGCTGGCCGGCACCTCAGTGGGCGATGGGCCGCGTTCGCATCCGATTATTGTGCGCACGCATGAAGATGGTATGTATAAGTAAGCGAGTGTTTCGCAAATAAGTATTTTTTTAGTTTTGAAAAAATTAATCACGAATTTTTCGCTATAATGCATATAATTTCAACACAAATTTTGATTTTTTTTTTGTTGTTAATTTGGAACCCCGTTGAAAGTATATGAATGAAATTTATTTAGTTTTTGTTGGGCCATTTTTTTCTCAAACATTAAAAGATGTTTTTGGGGAAGTGTCCCTATGTGTTTAAATTCATTCATTCATTATTTTATCAGACAAATTATAAAAACATTTTATTTACCTCATATAAAATACATTGAACATATTTAAATTTTTTCTAATTTTTTTTTTAATTGGTTCCTCAAAAAAAATATTAAATATTTTTTGTTAATTAAGAGTTTGGGCCTTTTTAGCATAATATTAAAAAAATATATATTTTTTAACAGAATTTCAAAATATTTAATTAATTTTCCGTGAATATTTTTAGTGCTATTTATGGATTTAAAAAATAATTTTTCTAAAATATTAAAATAATTTTTCAGGAATATAAATTCAGTTTTAGCAGTTTTGAACTTGCAACTTTTTTTGCATTTGATTTTTAAAAACAATTTTTATTTTGTAAGTTATTTTGATGTCTAAATTTTTTATTTGTTTTTGTTACTTATGGCCTTATAACAATATATTCAACAATTTTATTGAGTTTGAGGCCGTTTTTAATGAAAACTATTGTGGATTTATAAATTTTTGTTGTTTTCCACAATAGTTTTCATTAAAAATGCCTCAAGCTCAACAAAATTGTTATGTCCAAATTTTTTATTTAAAAAATTAATGCGAATTTATTTTTACTCGTTTGTAATTAAAATTACATAATTCTTAGATTTCCTTAGTAGATATATTTTTATTTTTTTATAACATTCTATTATTAATAAAAAATTTTTTACAGAATCTCAAAAAATTGCAAACTTAAACTTTATATTCTAAAAATTAATATAAATTTTCTTTTAAAAATTTTGAGCTACATATTTTGAATTCGATTAAGGGTTTTTTTTAGAAATTTAATCATTTTCAAGCCGAAACATTTAGTTTGTCAAAATAAAAATTTGCAGAATTTCAAATACTGACTTGAATTCAGATTTTTAGCAAAATTTTCTTCTTCGTTAAATACCTTAAACTTTTTTGAATCTTATTTATAAAAATATTTTTATTGTTTAATTTAATCCTTTTAAAGCTGGAACTTTTTACTCTAAAAATTAATGAGAAAAAATATGCTTATATTTAATTATAAAATTTTTTATTCAAGAAAAATACTTTATTTTATTACAAAAAAAAATTTTAGATTCTATACAAACATAATGGATTTACGTATTTTATAACTCCTTATTTTAAATTTTATATTTATCTTAAATTTTTCTAAATTCTGCATTCCAAATAAAAGTATTTGTTTTTTATTTTTAGTACCTACGTTAAATAATTTTCCAAATATTTAATTTTAACACCTCACATTTTTGAGCCAAAAACAAATGCTTAGTTTTTTAGGTTAATATTTTTGCATTTTTTTTATGCCACACAAATCTTATTTTACAAACTTTTGAAACTCAAAAATATTTTTTTGAAACTTCAAAACAGTTTTGGTTAAATAACGTTATTTCATATTCCCCACACACATTTTTTGAAAAAGTAAAATTTTTTGAAAAATTTTAAATTACTGTTTCTATTACTGCTATTGGATAAAAGCTGTAATATGTATAATTTCGAAAACACAAAATTTTTTTATTTTTGTTTTTTTTTTGTATTGGTTTCCAGTTCTAATTTTTTCTGCCCACTTCTATTTACTATGTATATCCTAATTTACTAATGCAACAATGACATTTTTTGAATTTTGTCTCGACATAAAAAATGCGGCATACATTTTTGGATACAATAAAAAAATAAAAATTCCCCCCCCTCGTTAATTACATTTTTTATAGGCATTTCAGTGTTTGGATGGCGCGCTGACAACCGAATTTTTGATGTCAACGTCATAAACATGAAAAATATTTACATATTTACATACTATATATATATATGTATAACCGAAATCATATTTAATATAATCACATAATCCATATAACAAATAATCAAATATTCTCATTTTGCTGTACTTAGTTTTATAATTGTTTTTATGTGTTTTCTGGTTATAATTATGTATCTATCATTTGGTTTTTAGTATTTCTTATATTCGAGTTTTTTTCGGTTATGTATTGTGATATAATTTTCGAAAAAGTCTTTGAAATGAAACTCTTTGGCATGTAAAAAAGTTTAGTTATAAGCGTGCATTGACGAACAGCGCAGAACTTTGGCTCGGCATGGCGTATGAGTGATATTATAAAATTAAAGCAAATCCACTTGATTTTAGGACCACCAGACTCACTTTAGTCCAGCTACTTACCCCCTACTATATTAGTTTGAGAGTCCCCTGGTCCTGGAATGTATGTTAAGTTAGATGGGCGTGTGACTGCGTGCCAGGATATGCTCATTCCCAACTACACTACTAGCATTAATCTGGCCAAACTCCTGCTCTCTGAAATCAAATGTGGAAGTCCGAGAGTTTTCGTTTAAGCCATCTCGATTGCGGCCAGGACATCGACACAGAAAGTAGTCGATGGATCACCTTTTGTTTAAGCTTTACTGCAGATCTATTGAGTTTCAAATGGCATCGTAGGCGATGTTAGTCTTGAGGTTTGACAATCACCTAAGATACCTAAATAGTGATTTATAGTATTTTCTACTACGCATCTCATAGTCATCTAACCAGCAGCTGTCTTGTTTCCTTCTATACATATATCTATGTCCGGGAACCCTGGAGCTATTAAGCAGATGAAAAAAAAACTGATTGACATTTATTCAGCCCAGTACTCAGGAAAGCCGCGATTTCCCTTGATTAGGTTTAGTGTCAAATGGGTTGGGGGTACATTAGAATGTACCACCACAAAAAATGTTAGAGGGTGACCCATACATTCGACCAAGAAACAATTTCCCAATGGACTTGTAAAAATAATTTAGATTCGAAGGTCTACGGCGAGCTCATTTTTCTGGTAGGGTCTAGTGTACATATGTGGCATATGAAGAGTTGAGCAATATTTTTCTGGCGGATCGATCTTTATACTTTAAGTTTTTATTATTCCGCGCCGGCCAGGCGGTAGTTAAACCAAAGTTTTTAAAACTTTCCTCAGAAGGCCTATTTCGTCGGTTGAGATGAGATATCCTTATCGGCTCAGTGAATTGTGAGTCCCTTGCCGCACGTTCTTTATAATGAAGGTGCATCATCTACTATTTATTTAACCATTCTTTCATAGTATTGACGGATAAATAAAAAATCTTTAGTATCAAAAAATGGTTAAATAAAATAATTTGGTATTGCTACTGGAAGAAAAGTTTTCGGATCGATCGATATTGATTTTCAAAAATTCCATACCATTTCTACGAAAAGTTTTTTTCCCCATATAAAATACATGGAAAACCTTGAGCACTTTGAGTGACCTCTAAATATTTTTTGAGTTCCAAATAAAAAATAAGCATATATTATATGGAGATATAGAGCAATCCTAGGGGGTGAGTGCATATTAAAGTTACGACTTTACTTATTTTGGACCACCCTAATGTATACTCCACGTGCGGCTGGACTCACCATCCTGAACAGTCGGGTGGATTTATTCATTAAGGACAATAATGAAGAGCAGATTTTGGTGTATGTAAATGAATAATCGTTTATATACATATTTCAACTACCTACAAACATCCCATAGTAAAGTTTTCTCTAAAAAACGAACTTCAGGCCCTTCTGCCTTTATATTGCTCACTGGCTTATCGCAATTCTCAGTGCTTTGCTATAACAAAGAGTTTTGTAAAAATACTAAATTTTTTCTTTAAGTTTTTTTTGCTTTCATTTGTCATTTTTCAGTGAAATGATTTTACTTAAAAATTTTTTCTCTTATAAATTCTTTAGTTTGTTGTAATTTCTACGAATGCTTTTAATATTTTTTAGCGTGTTTTATATAGGAAAAAAAAACAAAAAAAAAAAAAAATACACAAAAATTTGTAATCACAAATATTGTTTTTCCAGCGAATTGAACTGGAATTTGTGCAAACCAAAAATATTTCGCTATACTGGCGATGCGATTTGTTGGCGCGTTGTAGCATACATACTGAATTGGACTATTGATAACAAAAAAATCATACATAACAGTATTGTAATTCCAACTCGCACTTTTTTGAAAAAAGAGTATACCCAAAAAATAACTGTTTATTAACTTACCCTATTAACTTTCTTTGATTTATTAATTTAAAAAAAAAAAAGTTGTACGTTGCAACCACACTGCGGCTGACGCCCACACGTCGAAATGCACAGTGGTTTGTTAAACGATTTTTTTTTTTTTAACTTTGTATCTATTAATATTATTTTAATAAATTAATATTTGATTTTATAAAATAATTTTGTTCGCGTTCTTCATGTTTTGTCAGTTTTTATTAACTGTTATTTTATGTGTTCAAAAAAAAATTATAAAAAAAATACTCGTTACATTGGCACAAATTGCATATTTTTTGGCGCAATCACAAATGAATTTTTGCATTTTACGCATTAAAACGCAACAAATATCAATGAAAAAAACTACAAAATAATAATTTTATATATACCTACATATATACTATGAACTATGTGTTAGCAAGCAAAAATGAAAGCATAAAAAGTTCCATTTAATTGGAAACGATTTTTGAAATGCACTCTACTATATTTATGTATGTACTATATAAATACCTGCAATATTCGTATTTATAAATGACACTTCATATTTTTTGTGGTTATATGGCATAGCACTAAGTTATATGTAGTAAAGAGCAAAAAAAAAAACAACAAACGAAAACAAAAGTATTATAATTAAAAGTATAAATTTTTCATTCGATTTTACACGCAACCCAAAGCACAACAAATTTTTCCCTCTTTATCAACTACTCCTTTGTTCGAAATATTTTTTTAAT